CAAAATCACAAATGATTCTGCATCTCACTTAAAACCCAGATCTGGCACCAGATTTTTCCTTCTCAAAAAGTACTGTTAAAGGATATGTCATAATGTGAGGATTCAGACTCTTTTGGGAGTTTTAAAGGCTTAAAACGTTATAAAATTCTTTTCATCATTATTTTCCTTCTTCCTCCAGTTTTGTTGAAGCTAGACCTTTTGCCTCCTCAGAGTACTGCATCACTTCGAAAGGTGATCTTCTAGACTTCCTCAGTCATCCTAAACGTCTTTGAAAGTTCTCCCCTCGCAACAGGGGATTACCCAATTCCACCTTCACTATAATGTACAAATCAGTAGCCAATTAGCAAGAATCTCCACCTGTCACAACGTAGAGAGTAACAAAAACGTCAACACAATCATCACCCCGTTGGTGCACGGATGTTCTGATCTTAGCCACCTGTGGTAATTAATTTAGGAAGTTGACAGCTGTTGTCAAATTTATGATGGGAAAGTGTCACAATATCGTAAACAAGTCTAGCCGCAAAGGCAATGGCATCAGATTTTCCCCCAATGATTGTCCCTCCGGGACGTGTATAAGAAGGGGTCGCACTTGCACCTCGAGGCAGACAGCTGAAGCGGACACAGCCAGTCAGACAGCAGCACAGACACAGCTGGCAGACACCCACCGCGGACATCAGGGAGACACCATTCTGTCTGTCACAACCCTGCCTTCCCGCCATAATCACCTGATTGAAAGGAAAGGACCACCAATACGGGTTCGTTTTTACCCATGTCCCATAGAATGAGATCGGAAATCCGTGAGTTAATCAACTATCCACATTTTGATGTTCTCTCTTCTTCGTTCCTCATCACTATCTCGATCATAGCTTAAGCTTTATGTCTTTAGAGTTAGATCTTAGTTAGTTTTAGAGTCTTATTAGACGAATTATTCCATTATTGTAACCTTTTTGATTTGTATTCGTTTGTATAAGTTTAGATAATTAAATACGTTATTTTTATATTAAATACTGTGTCATTCTTGAGTAGAGCCAGTACTTTGTCACGATCTCACTCTCCCTCACCACTCACATTTTAGCCCTCCTATACAGCCATTTCTGACAGAGCCGCCAATAAGTGGGGAGGAGCTTGACGCTCTACCACCTCGGTTCTCACAGTAAGATCAACTTTGTTTTGATGTTAAAATTCTTGTGCTGTTTCAGTATATAAAAAAAAATCACAGGATGGTCCACTAATTATGCATACAGTTTAAATGGGGAGGGGATTGTGAAAAATACAACGTTGTACACAACAGAAAGGGAGGGGGATAAAGGCATCATCGAGGTTTGTACACATCTTTATACACAATGAAAACAAAGGGGATCAAAAGTGGCTCAATAATTGTACACAAACTTGACAGTCTGCTTTTGAACTGTATACCTTAATGGACAGTATGCTGAAAAGTGTACATGTACAATCAAAATAAATAACTTTACATAAACAGAAACCTGTTTATCAATCGACCCTCATATGTATAAATAATAAGAACCTACTTACGTCAACAAAATATCTAGTAGTCCATTTGTTACTTTTGTCCGTCAGATAAAGTGGATGAAACCAATCTAGCAACGAATGGTAGACTCCAAAATGCATATGTTTGTATTTACGAACGGCTTTAGCCAAATCACCTAAAACACAAGAAGTAAGGAAATTTTAAAAATTGGTATTTCAAGTTTAAAAAATATAAAATTACAAACCTAAGAGATCTCTATTAGGACCTAAATCCATGGCATTCCAGTTCCAGGAAAATTTGGAAGGCCACATTGTGAATCCTTCATGATGTTTACTTGTAAGGACAACATATCTGAAAGATAAAAGTGTTATATAACAAGAAAAATATGATTGTCATCAGTGTCTCCTTTCTTTTAGGTACTACATTTGTTCCTGGGCCATGTTAAATGCTACTAGTCATAAACAAACCTGATTGCATAAAGTTACTTATTGTCAGTAACATCCTAAAGTACATGCTACAAAGCTACAAATATTATGTCTTGTAGCTTGTAATCTTTATAAAACAGAGCTTGGTGCATACTCTTAATTTGTGTCGGTAGCAACAAGTACATCGACCCTCCCAGAAAATTTTGGCACCCAAGTCAAACCAAAGTATGGTGACAACATGCTTATATTCAATTCTTTATATTCAACACACTTATATCTCTGTAAATATTTTAATATCCCTTCCAATTTGGCAGCCAAGTCACCTTGCTACCTCGTTCGTTATCATGGTTCCATCGAGGATATTAAATAATACAAAGTTATTTGGCAATCATGTCGGACAGAATGAATTGGTTTGGAAAATGAAAGTATGTGTTATTATTCACATTGCTCAACACTTAAACATTCTGGATATTTGGAAGTGGGGCAACGGAGCAGTAAGTTTTTCTGCCCTTCTCTTGCCGCATCTTATTAGTTTAACTTCTTGATAATTTATTAAGGTAATAATTTGGCACATTGATTTTAACACTAGTTTTCTGATACACATTCTTGGTACAAATGTCACAAAACTATATTGCAGTAATATAAAATAATCCAAAGCAAACCTGTTAACAGTGAGTAATACTCCTAACAACCATGCCAAATAACTCTGTTTATTCCAATTATAGAAATATTATTTACTAATAACACAGTTAACACTTGATTAACACAGACTTTGGAACTTGATAAGTAACCTTATAGACAACAAAGATTTAAATCTCTGTCACTATGATAAAACCACTGTCAATTTATTATTCATTATGGGGCTTAAATCCCTTACAAGTATGATTATAATAATAAAAACAAATGTAATTACTTCGAAGCATCTAGTATATGTATTTTGCTCTCCCAAACTGTGGTTCGCGATATACACAGAAGGGGGATGACGAATTGTTTTGGTTATGGTATTGTATAGGGGGAGAAACGTGTAGGTAGTTAAACTGAGATAAAAATAAACCTCACCTGGCTCCTGATGCATTAAATATCTCGCCCCAATGATCCGGATCATAAAATTCGGTTGTGAACATAGGGCCAAAATCTTGATAAGTGAAGTTAGGTCTGTAGTTTTGTCTCATGAACTCCATATACTGGGGTGTCTTGTCGCTCCAGTACATCCAGAACCATTCGGATCCAAAGCTAGGTACAGAATACAATCCCCAGTGAAGGAATATACCGATTTTACTCTTATCGAACCATTCGGGAAGGGGTCTACTGTCTAACGATTCCCAATTTGGTTGATAATTGGCTGCTGTAAGGTAGACAAACACCAGCAGACAGCAGAGACGTAGCGACATGTCTATGCTTCGAGCGAACTGACCCCGCTCCCCCAATACAAAGTTCGAATGCGCTTTATCGGGTTGGAAGTTGAGCTATATCGGGTCTGAGGTTAAGTGTCTGTCACATGCGTGTTGTATATGCTACGTAGGGAAATTAAATGACTCATTATTCAATTTATTACTTTGACTTGTTAGTATAATTAAATTAGTCACGGGTTCGGATGTTGAAATATAATTTAATTAATTATATTTAAAGGTTTTTATAAGTTTTTTTTGTGTGTGCAAAGAGGCAGATGGAGCATTTCTTTACAAAACTTACGTGACGTCAATGAAAAACTAATCTTTATATATTTTTGGGATGAATTCAAATTGCATACCTATACATTCCCACTGCCGTCTGTCTGTCCGTCCGTCCTATCTAACTGCATGAATAATGGAGTTAAGATAGATGAAAAACGAGACCGGATATGAAGGGCTTAGGGGCCGGAATTTCTATTAATTATACGGGAACTTCCGTTCTGAATCGAAAGCCACGTGTGTTTTTAAAATAAAATACGATTAAAACATGTAATCCGAAATTGTGACCGTTCCACAATAATGCACATTCGATTTTTCGATATACAAATAGAATTTAGTAAAGTTGGTTTTGAGGTTTTGCGGAGGACTGCGTGTTTCAGTAATTTTAGACTTTCTGCAGTGTTGCAAATAAAAACTAACAAAGTACAGGTATACCTCGCCTTACGTCGGTAATTGGTTCCAGGAGAACGACGTAAGTCGAGATATGCCTGTACAATAATTTAAATATAGCCTAAAATATTACAGGTAACACAACATAAGGAACAAAACACTATGCTAAATTCGATGTAGATTAAAAAAGAAATCAAAAGTTTTTCGGTGGCATCACGTGCGTTTAAAGAAATGTGCCATTCCACCATCTCCACCCATGGCAAACCTCCCACGAGCATCTAAGGATATTTATTTGTTTACATCAGAAGGCGCAATAATTAGAGTTGTCTATTTTCGTTGTACAGGCCCACCCGTATGACATGTGATTCACTACGGAAGATTAATATTTTTGCTTACGTATGACGTATGAAAATAGTTGCTAGTGTAATAATAACAACTGCAATTTTACTTGTGTTGTATTAAAAGAACACGTTTTCTATCTCTTGTTCTATCTAATGCATATAATTTTCATTATATTTCCTATTTAATTAGTGAGTATGATAAATGTCTGGAGACAATAAAGAGTCTTTTTTTGTCTCCTGGTATTTCCTGTTATATATCACCAATAGGAATATAACATACATGAATCAGAATATGCAGACGTTTTATGTTTGCTATTTTATTAATATTTTAAATACATATTTACTGGCAGATGAGCCCGGGCAAAAAATAACAGCAAAGATTAAAAATATTAGATTATTTCGTACTTCTAACCCTTATGAGCCCTATTATAGTACTGTGTTTGATTTATAATTACAAAGGTTATCTTACGTAAGAGTTTATCACACCAGTTGCCCACTCTAACACATTTTAAAAAATTCTTTAATCCTCTAATGTACGCAATTTAAAGAATTTTTAATGTCTTAAATTGGGCACCTGTGTGATAACCTGTGTAAATATATAACGAACATTAAATGTTGGCAATACATTGTACAATACAATACTACGTGGGAAGTAGGTTCTCGTAAATATTGCATTTATAGAAAATGTATTGGGCTGCAAATTGAAAAAGATTGTAGACCTATAAATTCCGACTGTTTTCTCGTCCGTCGATCTGTTCATTCTTCCTTAATCTCGATGGAAGTCGAGAACAAAGGTAGAAAGTTTAGCAACAGGAAGGCCAGATTAACTTATACGAACTTCCAGTTCGGAATGGAAGCGACGTTGTTATTTCGATTCAAAATTTTCCTTTGAAGGAGTTTGATAGATGAACGACACGACTCTATTGCTAACAGGAAAAGTATGATGTACGGGGGCAAAATACTACACCACACAGGAGCTTCGTGTTGCAGTAATGGTGCATCTATTTCGATATATTATTGTCGTAGTAATTAAGTGAATGTAATTTATATTTTTCAAAGCTATATCCTTTTCTGTAAGAATATTTAGTCCATTATTTTCTTAAATTTTCTCTAATAGATAACGCTACATTTAAAGCCGGCAATCGATTGTAGACAGAAATTAATTGATAATTTCGGGTGTACGACATGATCTAAGTTAGACGCATCTGAACGAAACTGCAAAGTTCGTAGCAATTGGTTCAAACGGCCTAGGAGTGTATAGAGAACAAACAAACAAACAAACCTGAACATCCCGCTTCTCTCCGATATCATCTCCCCTTATTAACTCATAGACTCATTGCCCCAAATTTCACTGATACTGCTTAATTTTCACTCCTTTCGAAACAATCTTTTCTTTCTATGGGATCAGGCGTTATGGTGGCATTCGAATAGGAAAATTACATAATACGAGGTTACCGGCGAGCAATTTAAAGAATTTTTAAATGTGTTACATTGGTCACTCGGTGTGATAAACTCTTACATCAGTTAACCTTTGTAAATATAAATCAAGTAATATAATATAATAGAAGGGTTGAAGTACGAAATAATTTAATATTTGCAGTTATTTGTTGCACCGGAAATGCCGGGCTTATCTGCTAGTTATATAATACAGTTGACCTTCTATAACACTATTGATTATTCCGTTTTATATGAATTCCATGTTGTACGAGTCACTTAGATTTTACAAATACGTTTGCTCGGCTGTGAACGGTTCACGTATTTATAAAATCTAAGTGACTCGTACAACATGAAATTCACATAAAACGGAGTAATCACCAGTGTTATAGGGGGGTCGACTGTATAATAAATTAATACAATAATTATAAAAATCTCTGTAATATATAAATTGTATTCCTTGTGGATTTATAATTTATTTATATTTGGCATTGTTCGAATGGAGTTCATAGTTACATTATTTATGAAGGAAATTTTCTAAAAATGCGAATTTTAACTAGATACAATGCTTCCAGTCTTATTTCAATAGAAATAATACACTGTTACAGATACAGAGAAAGACTATTAGTAACAAGAAGTGATACTAGGCTATTCAGAAGGCAACGGGTGAATGTGCTCGTGCGTTACTGCGGTCCCGGTCGTACGGAATAAAAAGTACAAATTTACATTACAAAAGTCTTTGTCTTCTTACTTTCAGCTTCATATTCTTTATAAAGAGGGAATAAGAAGAGCCGCTTTCCTGTTTACCATAAAAATAAAGTAAAAGAATCATCCATCAATTCTTAATACCAAAATCGAAATTATTGACAATTAAATGATTCGTTCATTTTTTCGAAACAGTTTAAATACAGCATCTGTGCTCTTCAAAGAAAATATCTTTAAAAAGTTTTAGCATTTTGCAAATAATCTTACCTCTCTGTTGACAAAGTTGCTCAGAGAAGATTAATTAAGACAGCTGTAGTGTGTATATATCCAATGTACCAGAGCCCCTTTAGCCGCCACTCGAAAACATCGAGTGACGTTTCCACTTCCCAGGACGAGGACCTAGGGGTTGGATTTCGGGAAGCGGTGTCGGTGTTATGTGACGGTGTCGTTTACTGTAACGAAGCGTGATATGTAAATGATTGGATGCGACGAACAAACTAAATAATGGCTCAGTTGTGAATGTTACGGAGAGTGGTGTTTGTAAGGATGTGTTGTAATGAAATCGTCAAAATCCTCCAAATATTCGTGCTTCTTCGCATTTAATACAGTTGGGTCGTGGATTAAAAACCTCGATGTCTTTCCATCTTTTCGCCACTCTCTGCAAACACCAGCGTTACGTCGTCGATCCTTTTTCTTAGGTCGTCGTCTATCTCGTCCATCTATTTGTTTCCGGGTCTATAATTCGTTCCGTAATACCTACCTGGCTCCGAGGAGAGCTTAATGCACTCCAAAATGGGTCAGACGGAGCGTGTAATTTGTGGTATATTTGGCGCTAATTATTTAGCGATCCCGTAATAAAATGTATCGTAACTACGTTAAGAATCCTTGCATTCGAGCTTTCGGGTTGCACGTCAGACGAAATCGTGCTCCCGGGCACTCGAAATCTTACGGCCCTACTTCTATAAACTACAAATTTGTATTGTAAGGCCGAAATAAACGGCCTTACAATACAACGATCGTCTCGATTGTTTTTGTAATAATAACATCGAACAATTATTAGATTTTCAAGTCAACTGTATGATTTATTAATTTTGTTTTTCATTTTAAAATTACTGTACTTGTATTTAGTATTTGAATATTAGTTTGTTTTCATGAAGTTTGAAATACCTGTCAGAAGCTTATATAACATAATGTTTGGTGTAGTAAGGCAGATAAAACGTGAAAAGAGAAGAAACAGAGACCTCCGATACAGTTCAGTCTAAGGAGGGTATTAATAATATGGATGAGTGAAAATAAAGCATAAGTGTGCTCAAAAGCATTCTTATATTATTTCAAATTTCGGAAAGAACCTTTTACCACATTTACATGATAATGCTATTTTTATTGTACCGGATTTTATTTTATTTATATTATGTTATCATTATTTCTTTGTGAAATATAGCAAGAAATTTAAACCTATTCTATTCAAATTATTCTTATATTTCTGTAGAATATCAATACTCGAATATTGTCAAACGACATGATGATATTAATTTACAGTTTAATAAAACTTTCATCTCTGATTATAAAAGATATGATTAAAAATTTTAATCTCTTAAAATAACATCTTGTACAATAACATAATAATTCTATAACTGTAGAAATTTTGCTCTTGAGAGTTGAACATAACTAAAACAATGAAATTGTTATTCTCTCGAGTTATAATTTTTAAGCTACACAATTATATCTTTACTTGCAGGTAAGCTCGGGAAAAAGATAAGTACAAACATACAGATTATTTCGTACTTTTAACCTTTTAACGGTATCGTGTAATTTTTGTGTACAAATGCCACCATACCTCTGGTCCCATAGAAAGAAGGGACTATTGCGGAATGCGTCGAAGTATTTCTAGCAAAGTAGTCGTTGATTTTCTCCCGGAAGAGAGAATGGTCAACGACTACTTATTAATACCGGTTTACTATTAATATTCGAAAACTGATTTATATATGTCGATTACATCAGTAAAAATGAATATAAACGAAACTAAAAATGAAATTAATTGTTACGAATTTCGTAGTTTTGTTTTGATAACTAAATTTAATAAGCGTGAAATGAACATAAAGTAAATTCTTAATTGTGAATGCCAGTGAAATATGGCAGCATCATACAATAAAATTAATACTAAAAATATTTCTAACACACGTGGATAATACTCGGTATTAAAAAATTGTATAAAATTTAATAGATGAACTGGATGATATAACAAGACAGTAATATTGTTGTGTTAAAATGATTTGCAATTTATAAAAGTATTGGACAAACAAAGATAAAAGCTATTGTCATTGCTGCTTTCTCTTCCTGTTATTTTGTTCCTGTCACAATAGCTTTTATCTTCGTTTGATCATAAAATGGCGCTATATTGTCATGTGAGTTTCTCTTGACCAATCAGAAAGCAGGCAAATGTTTAAAATAATTTTCTTTCTGATTTCCTTAATGTAAAGTTCATGGGCTCTGGTGCATAGCCACGGCTGCATCCCCTCACGTAGAATCACTAAAAGCGTACTTCTTATAGGACTATTATAGATTCAAAACAATACACGTCATCTGTTGACACTATACTATGCTGCGTTACAAGCAGACTAGAACTGAAGATCTTGACAACTATTGTAGCAAGTGTTTTTGTGGACTTAACTAAAGCTTTTTGATAGTGTTAATTTGGTATTTTTGAGAAAACAAAATATTCTATTGGTCTCCATAGTTTTGCCTTAAATAAGGCTTTCGTTTACATTTATATCGAGGTTATTACTAGAAAATATTAATAGTCTGATGAACAACTGAGTTTATGCCTTAAAGTTTTTTGCCTGAGTATGTCATTACCATATCCTCTACATAAACTATTATATTGTCCAAAAATAGGTGAAAAATGTAGCTTGAATAAACAAAATTGATCCTAAAACTGATTCTTATTGAACACCCTCCCAGCGTGCGGATGGCCGAGCGGTCAAAATGGCAGCCCACCACTCTGAGGACCTGGGTTCGAATCCAAACGGGTCGAAAATTTCCCAGGAATTTTTGGGGATTTTTCGACTCGTTCGGATTCGAACCCGGGGCCTCTAGAGCGGTAGGCTGCCATCTTGACTGCTCGGCCATCCGGCTCCTGTGCGGGTGCTGCACCTGTTGTACCTGCCTAGTTACGGCACTGTCACATTGTTTTGAGATGCTATTTAAAAAGTAACTTTTATACTATTAATTATTATATAAAGGCAAACAGGCTTCATTTCCAGAGTACTCGTAAAAAGTACCCGGAAAATTAAACGTGGCCGGCCGTGTTGGTTAGGTACGAACCCACAACAAGTGTGAGAGAAAAGTGAGCTCAAACCTTATTATTTATAGAGATTAAATAATCAGTTAAGAACATTAAATGAACGATTTATTTGGTCTATTTTGCCATAAATACGTCTTGTTTACGTTCAATTTACAGAGAGGAATAGTAAATAATTTTTTTTTTAATTAGCCAAAGAAAATCATCACACCAACAGACATCAGAAATTTGGACACAAGCAAGGATTTTTTACCTCTACAGAAATCATATGGCTTTGTGTCGTGGTGTTTCTCAAATATCCCATTCAATTATTTTCTACTTTTGTTCTATTTTTAAAACCCAAGCCCATTGTGATGGAAGTAGATCAGGTGTTAGAAAAGGAAAAGTAATTTGAGTTCCTTTACTACCCAACGACTTCCACTGAAGTTCATATTTCCATCCGATCAGTCGAACGGACGCTGCACCTTCCAGTTTCAATGCACCCAACATCAATGTATTATCTTTTGGCCACTTCAGAACAATGGCGTAAACGATTTCTCCTTTCGAAGTGTACCTGGCAAAGTAATCGCAATGAGAAAACTGTACTTACATAACAGTTGAGTAAATGTTGTTAAATTCTTACCAGACATTTGGTGTGACGGTGTCGTTCTGATACGTCCAAGGTTCGGATTCGTAAATAGCTTCTCCGTTCACACTTAACCACAATCCCAGTTGACGGAGTCGCTCTTCGAAGATTGGAGTGATTCTTCCGTCGTGGGTTGGACCGACATCTATGAGGATGTTTCCTCCACAACTGTAGAAGTATAAGTGTTGTTTATGTTTACGACAAACAAGAGTATAAATAAGCTTATTGTCACCTTATAGTCTGCGCCAAGGTTGCAATCAGTTTCTCAATGGGCATGATATCAGCTATTTGAATATTTCTTCTGAATGCCCACGAAGAATAGTCTAAAGTCATGGCATCTTCCCATTTTCTCTTTTGTAACTTTTCTAATTTTGATAGAAATGTTTAAAATTACCAAACTTAAAAGCAAAAGTCTTAAACTTGGCTTTACCTGGGTTATATCTGTCTTTGCACGTGTAATATCCACCATGATGACACGGAATACCTTTGCCCCAGCGATCATTGACCACGATGACATCCTTAACAGGACTAAATATAAATATTTTAAGTTTTTATTGTATTAGAGGAATTATAAAGTTTAAAATACCACCACGCTACCTTTTGTTGTATAACCATGCCAAAAATCCTGTGCTATTCCAGTAAGTGTCGGGTGCTTCCCAGTCGCCATCAGACCATATCAATTCTGGCTCGTAATTGATTACAAGTTCGTAAAGTTCGGGCATTGTTTTTACCTATATTGAGAAATTTTGGTTATGTTCGTTTAAAATTAGTACGAAGGTTAATTTATAGGTAAGGTCTACTAATCTTTTAAAGTGTAGGGATAGAAAAATGTCACCATCAGAATTTATTAGCTACAAGTCTGTATATATATATTTGTGAAGTCACATTGTAATATTGAATCAATGGATTGCAGTGAGTTTTAATTCAATAGACAGCAGTAGTGTTTGGTGATTGAAATTTTAGTCTTGAAATGTTTCGTGCCTATTGAAATTTTCACATTGATGAAATATTGTACAACCTAACAGATTTTCAAGAGACACATTCAAAGATTAAGGCCAGAAAGAATCATCTTTTTTTTGCACTGTGATAATGCAAGATCATACTGCATTATCATTGTATAGATGCTTAAGACCCCAAAATCACAAATGATTCTGCATCTCACTTAAAACCCAGATCTGGCACCAGATTTTTCCTTCTCAAAAAGTACTGTTAAAGGATATGTCATAATGTGAGGATTCAGACTCTTTTGGGAGTTTTAAAGGCTTAAAACGTTATAAAATTCTTTTCATCATTATTTTCCTTCTTCCTCCAGTTTTGTTGAAGCTAGACCTTTTGCCTCCTCAGAGTACTGCATCACTTCGAAAGGTGATCTTCTAGACTTCCTCAGTCATCCTAAACGTCTTTGAAAGTTCTCCCCTCGCAACAGGGGATTACCCAATTCCACCTTCACTATAATGAACAAATCAGTAGCCAATTAGCAAGAATCTCCACCTGTCACAACGTAGAGAGTAACAAAAACGTCAACACAATCATCACCCCGTTGGTGCACGGATGTTCTGATCTTAGCCACCTGTGGTAATTAATTTAGGAAGTTGACAGCTGTTGTCAAATTTATGATGGGAAAGTGTCACAATATCGTAAACAAGTCTAGCCGCAAAGGCAATGGCATCAGATTTTCCCCCAATGATTGTCCCTCCGGGACGTGTATAAGAAGGGGTCGCACTTGCACCTCGAGGCAGACAGCTGAAGCGGACACAGCCAGTCAGACAGCAGCACAGACACAGCTGGCAGACACCCACCGCGGACATCAGGGAGACACCATTCTGTCTGTCACAACCCTGCCTTCCCGCCATAATCACCTGATTGAAAGGAAAGGACCACCAATACGGGTTCGTTTTTACCCATGTCCCATAGAATGAGATCGGAAATCCGTGAGTTAATCAACTATCCACATTTTGATGTTCTCTCTTCTTCGTTCCTCATCACTATCTCGATCATAGCTTAAGCTTTATGTCTTTAGAGTTAGATCTTAGTTAGTTTTAGAGTCTTATTAGACGAATTATTCCATTATTGTAACCTTTTTGATTTGTATTCGTTTGTATAAGTTTAGATAATTAAATACGTTATTTTTATATTAAATACTGTGTCATTCTTGAGTAGAGCCAGTACTTTGTCACGATCTCACTCTCCCTCACCACTCACATTTTAGCCCTCCTATACAGCCATTTCTGACAGAGCCGCCAATAAGTGGGGAGGAGCTTGACGCTCTACCACCTCGGTTCTCACAGTAAGATCAACTTTGTTTTGATGTTAAAATTCTTGTGCTGTTTCAGTATATAAAAAAAAATCACAGGATGGTCCACTAATTATGCATACAGTTTAAATGGGGAGGGGATTGTGAAAAATACAACGTTGTACACAACAGAAAGGGAGGGGGATAAAGGCATCATCGAGGTTTGTACACATCTTTATACACAATGAAAACAAAGGGGATCAAAAGTGGCTCAATAATTGTACACAAACTTGACAGTCTGCTTTTGAACTGTATACCTTAATGGACAGTATGCTGAAAAGTGTACATGTACAATCAAAATAAATAACTTTACATAAACAGAAACCTGTTTATCAATCGACCCTCATATGTATAAATAATAAGAACCTACTTACGTCAACAAAATATCTAGTAGTCCATTTGTTACTTTTGTCCGTCAGATAAAGTGGATGAAACCAATCTAGCAACGAATGGTAGACTCCAAAATGCATATGTTTGTATTTACGAACGGCTTTAGCCAAATCACCTAAAACACAAGAAGTAAGGAAATTTTAAAAATTGGTATTTCAAGTTTAAAAAATATAAAATTACAAACCTAAGAGATCTCTATTAGGACCTAAATCCATGGCATTCCAGTTCCAGGAAAATTTGGAAGGCCACATTGTGAATCCTTCATGATGTTTACTTGTAAGGACAACATATCTGAAAGATAAAAGTGTTATATAACAAGAAAAATATGATTGTCATCAGTGTCTCCTTTCTTTTAGGTACTACATTTGTTCCTGGGCCATGTTAAATGCTACTAGTCATAAACAAACCTGATTGCATAAAGTTACTTATTGTCAGTAACATCCTAAAGTACATGCTACAAAGCTACAAATATTATGTCTTGTAGCTTGTAATCTTTATAAAACAGAGCTTGGTGCATACTCTTAATTTGTGTCGGTAGCAACAAGTACATCGACCCTCCCAGAAAATTTTGGCACCCAAGTCAAACCAAAGTATGGTGACAACATGCTTATATTCAATTCTTTATATTCAACACACTTATATCTCTGTAAATATTTTAATATCCCTTCCAATTTGGCAGCCAAGTCACCTTGCTACCTCGTTCGTTATCATGGTTCCATCGAGGATATTAAATAATACAAAGTTATTTGGCAATCATGTCGGACAGAATGAATTGGTTTGGAAAATGAAAGTATGTGTTATTATTCACATTGCTCAACACTTAAACATTCTGGATATTTGGAAGTGGGGCAACGGAGCAGTAAGTTTTTCTGCCCTTCTCTTGCCGCATCTTATTAGTTTAACTTCTTGATAATTTATTAAGGTAATAATTTGGCACATTGATTTTAACACTAGTTTTCTGATACACATTCTTGGTACAAATGTCACAAAACTATATTGCAGTAATATAAAATAATCCAAAGCAAACCTGTTAACAGTGAGTAATACTCCTAACAACCATGCCAAATAACTCTGTTTATTCCAATTATAGAAATATTATTTACTAATAACACAGTTAACACTTGATTAACACAGACTTTGGAACTTGATAAGTAACCTTATAGACAACAAAGATTTAAATCTCTGTCACTATGATAAAACCACTGTCAATTTATTATTCATTATGGGGCTTAAATCCCTTACAAGTATGATTATAATAATAAAAACAAATGTAATTACTTCCAAGCATCTAGTATATGTATTTTGCTCTCCCAAACTGTGGTTCGCGATATACACAGAAGGGGGATGACGAATTGTTTTGGTTATGGTATTGTATAGGGGGAGAAACGTGTAGGTAGTTAAACTGAGATAAAAATAAACCTCACCTGGCTCCTGATGCATTAAATATCTCGCCCCAATGATCCGGATCATAAAATTCGGTTGTGAACATAGGGCCAAAATCTTGATAAGTGAAGTTAGGTCTGTAGTTTTGTCTCATGAACTCCATATACTGGGGTGTCTTGTCGCTCCAGTACATCCAGAACCATTCGGATCCAAAGCTAGGTACAGAATACAATCCCCAGTGAAGGAATATACCGATTTTACTCTTATCGAACCATTCGGGAAGGGGTCTACTGTCTAACGATTCCCAATTTGGTTGATAATTGGCTGCTGTAAGGTAGACAAACACCAGCAGACAGCAGAGACGTAGCGACATGTCTATGCTTCGAGCGAACTGACCCCGCTCCCCCAATACAAAGTTCGAATGCGCTTTATCGGGTTGGAAGTTGAGCTATATCGGGTCTGAGGTTAAGTGTCTGTCACATGCGTGTTGTATATGCTACGTAGGGAAATTAAATGACTCATTATTCAATTTATTACTTTGACTTGTTAGTATAATTAAATTAGTCACGGGTTCGGATGTTGAAATATAATTTAATTAATTATATTTAAAGGTTTTTATAAGTTTTTTTTGTGTGTGCAAAGAGGCAGATGGAGCATTTCTTTACAAAACTTACGTGACGTCAATGAAAAACTAATCTTTATATATTTTTGGGATGAATTCAAATTGCATACCTATACATTCCCACTGCCGTCTGTCTGTCCGTCCGTCCTATCTAACTGCATGAATAATGGAGTTAAGATAGATGAAAAACGAGACCGGATATGAAGGGCTTAGGGGCCGGAATTTCTATTAATTATACGGGAACTTCCGTTCTGAATCGAAAGCCACGTGTGTTTTTAAAATAAAATACGATTAAAACATGTAATCCGAAATTGTGACCGTTCCACAATAATGCACATTCGATTTTTCGATATACAAATAGAATTTAGTAAAGTTGGTTTTGAGGTTTTGCNATATATATAATTATAATAAAGTTACAATAAATTAAGTTAATACATAATTATATATACAGTACCTAATTTATATATAATTATATGTATAGCACCTAATTTATATATAATACTGTACAGACGATAGCAAACTCAATTTAGCCGCTCCGTAGCGTGGCGCAGGGCGGAGGAAAGTAGTTCGGCTGCTCATCCACTATTGGTCCAGATTCTGTGAATCTTGTCGCGAAACGAGTCGGCGACGACGTTTTAGGAGCTCCTTTAAACGAATGTTGCTGCAATTTTTTCGCTACGTTATAGGAATTTCCGTTATTGGAACGCACGTTATAGGGGGGTCGACTGTATTTAAAACTGTATACAGGGAGGCCACAATTAAACTTTCCATATTCAGAATTCTGTTTAGTTGTAACCAATAAACGGATTGACACAGTTTGTATACAGACTACACAAAGAATATAGAAAAGAATTTTGAAAAAATAAATTTTACTTTCAAATCTTTCGCAAGGAAGCGCTTTCGTGTGTATGTCTTGAAACTCTGGCAGACTTAATGAATTGTATTACACTAGACGTGCGAAACACTACTGTAGGGCAGTTGTAATCAACTGTAGAAAACAGTTCATCGTTTTAAGATTTTACACCTGAACAATGGACACACACTGATCAACATGTCTTACATACAGTCTCTGTAGAAGTCGTGTTTCCTTCAATACGAATAAATACTGGTGTTTTTGAAACCGTGCCAGTAATCTTTGTAATTCAAACACAAATTATTTATTGTATTTATAAAATATAGTTATTATGAAAGGAACACGTATCAAGTGAATAAAATTTAATTCTATGATTTGCCAAATGTCTGTATAAATACAATAAATAATTTGTGTTTGAATTACGAATAAATACGTTTTCGTTGTTTTCTTTTTGTTCTGTTTCGTGTATTTTCCCATAAACTGTCTCCTAGAGGAAGTTTTAAAGTAAATTTTTCTTTGGAAATTCTTTTTGCATCCTTTGCATAGTCTGCAGACAAATTTTACAATGGATTTATTTATTGGTCATAGCTACAGGGTGCTTTGAATACTTTAAAACACTTCTTAGTCCCAAAAGTCTCTTAGGTGTTTTGCAACTGCTCAATGTATTACTTTTCAAATGCAAATTAATTCTACAATGATTGTCGTTATTGTCTTATGAGATGCTTATTAATAAACCATTACATTTTATACGTCAATAATTAGATGATTGTTAAACACAATGATGAGACTTTGAAGATCAACAAAAATTTTTATATATATTCATTTTTATTCTTACAACAATCAACGTTTCTCAATTTATAAATGGCACTGTTAATTTTATACAAGAATTATATGGCATTAAACAAAACATTAATCTTGGTTTATTTTTACAACCCATGCCCATTGCGATGGAAGAAGATCTGGAGTTAGAGATGGAAACATAATCTGAGTCCCTTTTCTACCTATCGATTTCCAGTTGAGTGAATTTTTCCATCCTAACATATATACAGTTGCATCTTCCTGCAAATTTACAGCTCCCAATGTCAATAAATTCTTCTTTGGCCAATTTAGAACAATGGCATAAACAGAGTTTTCTTTGGACGTGTACCTACAAAGAATTGTCGTTAATAATTGCTTACAAGAATTTGAGTCATGATATAAAATTCTTACCAGATATTTGGTGTAATGGTGTCATTTTGATATATCCAAGGTTGGGATTCGTAAATGGCTTCCCCGTTAACTTTTAACCATGATCCCAGTTGACGAAGGCGTTCTTCGAAAACGGGAATGATCCTTCCATCGTGAGTTGGACCGATATTAATGAGAATGTTTCCACCACAACTGAAAGAATGTATGTTAGTTACATGATGTTATATTTATAAATTGCATCATAAAACTGAAACACATGCTTATACTGACCTTATAGTCTCTGCTAAAGTTGCGATTATTGTCTGGATAGGCATGATATCCTTTATCTGAGCATTTCTTCTATAACCCCACGAGGAGTAGTCTAGAGTCATGGCATTTTCCCACTTCCTGGGTTGTAACTTTCCTGTTGTTGATAAAATGTTTAAATTAATGTCTTTTTGATCCAAAAGTTGTATGTATTTTGGTGCGTATTACCATGGGTTATCTGTGTTTGAAAGACAATTTGAAAAAAAAATGCGGGCGATGTATGGAGTGAGTAAAATGCTAATTTGCTGATTTGCAATTTCAAACTCGTTCTGATTATTTCTTGCAGGTAATAAGCAGGAAAATACAATGATTCTTTAACAGTTTACCTGGGTTATATCTATCCTGGCATGTAAAATATCCACCGTGATGGCACGCCATTCCGCTACCCCAACGATCGTTGACTGCAATTACATCTTTAACTGGACTGATATATGAGACGTAAAAATGCTAAATAAATTTTTAATTTAATTAGAAAAGTTACAATTAAACAACGGCGAACCTTTTATTGTATAACCAGGCCAAAAATCCCGTGCTATTCCAGTATGTGTAAGGTGCTTCCCAATCTCCATCTGACCATATGATTTCGGGTTTGTAGGTTGTTACCAGTTCATATAATTCTGGCATAGCTTTTACCTAGTTAATAAATTATGTATATATTTATTAAATACATACTTAGGCAATAATGATTATCCTGTATAAATATGTAAAATCTTGTAGATAATGAAGTGCAAAATTTTCAGAATTAGAGGAAAGATATGAAGAATCTTAGTTCCTAATATGGTATAGGATTTTCAACAACTCCACGCCATTTTTAGTGTTTCTTATTCACGTCTTTATACACGAGAAATTATTAAAAGAGAAAGTAAAAAGGCGACATTTCGTTATAAAACAACAACTTACTCGAACGAAGTAATCAGTAGCCCACGAATTATTTTTATCTTTTAGATAAAGTGGATGAAACCAATCCATCAGAGAATGATACAGGCCAAAGTGAATGTGGTCATATTTTCGAACTGCCTTAGCCAAATCACCTGCATGATTATTTAAACAGTTTTTATTGTTATTATTATAATATATATATATATATATATGTCACATGTAACTGATATTACTAAATGCAAGAACTTACCTAATAGATCTCTGTTTGGACCCAAGTCTTTTGCATTCCAATTCCAGGAAAATTTCGAGGGCCACATTGTAAACCCTTCGTGATGTTTACTTGTAAGTACCACATATCTGAAATGTAGGAAATATGGCTTACATGCTTATATGGAATTCAATTTCGTGTGTTTAAATACTGATATTGCATATAGGTAGATGCAATACAATACAATTCCCCATGGTTTAAATTGCGAATTGGTTGGATGCGATTTCTTAGCACACAGGAAGGCAATCGCTCTTCCTTATTACTTAATGATAACACGTAAGAAAGAGTTTAAAGTCTTTTATCTCTAATAAGTAAATCCTTAAAATTCTCTGAAAATCCCACCAGTGGTCGAGTGGATAAAAACCACTGAACACTGGTAGTTAGTAGATTCGCTTCTCACCAACAGGATGACCACGAGGTTTTCGGGATTCCGTCACATATCTAACACCTTAATATAGACCATTTGCTTATAGAAGTCCTCTTGAGTGGCACTCCTCTCCTTGGCCATTGACATTGTGTCGCATAGGCTTATTGCATGAATTCAAGCCTATATTTGAAGATTTTATATTAAATTTTCACTTTATGAATTATCTATGAACTTCATAGAAATTATCTCTGGATGCTTGCCAACATGTCTTGTGATATTCATATCAGAAAATCTCTGCTGAGGAGATAAACCTTTTCGGAGTGTATAGATTATATTTTCTGGATGCAATTGGATATTTTAACATTATGCTTCACACTCAGCATTAACCAATCGGTCAGTATGGCAAAGAAATACGGAGAGACGTAAATTTTTTATTGTTATATTTTCTTTTCTAAACCACACTTCCATTGTTTATCCCCTGTTATTGTATTTTTATTAGAATATATAGAGGACACTTTACTAATCTTCTCTATGCTGCATTTCATTAACAAAGTACTATGTAAATTGCATAGCAAACTGTACTCATTTTTAGACAATAAAGTGTTATCTTCAAATAGAAACTTACACAATTAAAACTGATTAATGATTTACAGATTAATATGTCAAAGTTCGGTTTTAATGATAATTAATTTACGAGGAGAACATAAATTCATATGTTTTCTGTTAATATAATACACAAAGTATTTCCTTTTATAACTTTGTGGTTGAAATATAATATTATATTATTAAACTGTTGTGTAGTGCGTATGTACAGTACTGTATATTGTTTGAGTTATGTGTGTACTGTGTGTTAGAATTTGTAGTAAGTGATGTATTGCATTTTATTAAACACTACATACCTCGTCAAATATACACACCAGGACATACATACGAGGATTAGTGATGCTGGATAAAATATTGTTTTATTATACATTACAAAACCTTTGTACATTTGAACATCTCGCTTTTGAACTCTGATTTCATTAGATTAGAGTTATCATAGAAACAAATATGGGGAGGAAACGTTAAGTTTAAACCCTTATCCATGAAAATATTCACTATAATAGAAGCCTGAGGAAAGAAATGATGGTTTTGTAACATTTTATCATCTCTAAAGTTAAAAGATTGTTATATTTGGGAACAATTAAAAGAATTTTAATTGTATTTTTACAGCACATGATCAATTTTAAATGTTAATGTTTACAGTTTTATGTGTTATCAGTAAAGATTATTGAGTGATTACTATTTAGTAGAGAGTAGGGGCACCCATGGTTCTGAGGACACGAGATCGAAAAACTCCAGGTAATTTTCGGGAGTGGTCTATTCTAATATGTCGGGTCCCATCCCTGACTACACGGCAGCCCCATTGTAAGCGTGGCCAAACCCATAAAATCTTGCTAAAAACGCCCTCTTAGTACTCACGCGGAGGAAATTCGAACAATTAATGAGTAAAAAGTGAAAATTTAACCATATACTTACCTAGCACCGGAAGCGTTAAATATTTCGGCCCACTGATCAGGATCGTAAAACTCGGCCGTGAAACTCGGGCCAAAATCAGGATAAGTGAAATTTGGCCTGTAGTTTTTCTTCATGAATTCCACGTATTGGGGAATCTTCGTTCCCACCCAATTCATCCAAAACCATTCGGATCCAAAACTCGGGACAGAAAACAATCCCCAGTGTAGAAATATTCCAATTTTGCTCTTGTCGTACCATTCCGGAATGGGCCTACTGTCGATAGATTTCCAGTTTGGCTGATAATCGGCTGTAACCAAAAATATCAGAAGGAACAACGAACACAGACGTAGCAACATGTCGCTTTAGTAGGGTAAATTAAATGACATCACGTGGCTGCACAATGTATAATACAATGATAACGTCTAGTTTATCTGATTAGATACTGTCAGCCATTAAATAAAACAGTCAATAACCTTATTATTTAATTTAATAGTCATTATACAATGAAACTAGTCAAGCGATGAATCACATAAAATTGTCTCTACGTGTTATTTTATAGCAAAAATGTTTATAAATAGGTACAACACAATCAGGTAACGGTAAATTTGATAGTATTCACGTAGAATAATATTTATATTTTATACAGATAACAGCTTTACTGCTTCTAAATGATATATAAAACTTTACTGCAATTATACTCCCAGAAACAATACACAAATACGTCTGTGTAATTTGTAAAATTTTATACAAATAAAAATAGTCATCTGCACTTTGTTTAGATAACTTGTATTTAAAATTATTATTAATTGTTTCCCGTTTGTCTGGCAAGACAAATAGAAAAATGTGTGGGTTTGTTTGTTAATCCCAATTGGTCGAACGAGTGTATCGCGAATAAACAAACAAACAACCTCATAGAAGAAGAAGAAGATGATGATGATGATTCTATGTGGATTCTTGAAAATTTCGTTTGTTTGCAACGATTTGATAATACAATTTCGGTGGTATATTCTTGATTCAATATAAAGAAACTTCACAGAAAGCTGCTTTTAAAGTTCTATTTAAAGAACACTACCATGTGTGGGATGCAAGTTGATACTACAATAAATAATAATTTATACAGTAAATGAGTATGCAAATTTTGAGAATAATTACATTTATCTTAACTACAGCTATGTGTGCAGAGAAAGAAAAGTGAGAACTTGTCGTCATTTACATATCGAAAGCATATTTTAAAACTATAGATAGGTTTGATAGTTAATTATACTGTACTTAAATATATAGAGTGTCCTATACATCTATCTCCGTAGGAGTTAAAATCACTTGAATTTCTTCCTCTCACTCGGCTTCATGCTTCTGCATCTAAGGAAGAATACAGAAACATCAACACAACTTCTGTGGGTCCAGGCTTATAGAATAAAAATCTTATGGATTATGCCATATTTTTAGTGTTTAAGGTATAATGGATTGATAAATTTATAGCATAATATTACGTAGTTTAATACAGTAAAACCTGTGTATGCCGGAGTAGCGAGGTACCGAATATATTTCCGTTTTGGCCAGGTTTTAACGTATTTATAATTGCCGGATGTGGAGTATTATGGCGTTTGCGTACTGCTTGTGGATCCGCGTTCGAATCCCGATGGTCGAGAAACCAGAAGAATTTTCGGGGTTTTCTCCCGGATATATCTTTCCCCATCCCTTGCCATCCGACGAGTTTATTGTGGGCCTGACAGAGCTCATAAATTGCTTAAAACGGAGCCTTCTTAGTACTCACGAGATGGAAGTTACGTAAAATGTGTTATTAGTACAGAATTATACATTAATTATATTAATATAATTGCATGTCAATTAATAGAAAATTTTAATCTATATCGAAGTATAATTAACATTTTTTAGTAATTAACCCATTAATAAATATATACTAAATGTTATATTTAGTAAATAGGTCTAGAAGAGAAATCTTCATAAAATTAATTGTTTGTTTTTTATATACTGTACAACGAAACTAATTATGTTGAATCAAAATTTTTGAAATTAATTATTTTATTAGAAGCCAGAAAATTGGTGAATAGAGAGGCAAGTCTATCCAACAATGTTTAGTACTGCAGTTATTAGTATACTTAATACAGTACAAAATGTGCTTTCCCTGTGTTAGGTTGTACGCAACCTAACACAGGGAAAGAACGTTTTAATGGCCTTCTTCAAGGCTTCTTGAAACGTTTAGAAATACAAAAATTCAAGGGTAATTTCTGTATGTATGGGTGTAAGTTTGTGTGTATCAAACTGCATTACAGTCGACCCCCCTTAACACTGTTGATTATTCCGTTTTATATGAATTCCATGTTGTACGAGTCACTTAGATTTTACAAATACGTGTGCCGGGCTGTGAATGGCTCACGTATTTGTAAAATCTAAGTGACTCGTACAACATGGAATTCATATAAAACGGAATAATCAACAGTGTTATAGGGGGGTCGACTGTACTAAATATAATACAATTTATATTGTATTATATTAAGTATTGTAAGATTTGAACTTTAAATTAAAAAAAATATATATGAAAATAACGGCGAGGATGTCAGGAAAATAATTAAATTTAATGTAAAAATACATCGAAAAGTCAAAAAAATCATCACGAGAAGTGAGTGTTCTATCCTGTTCTGCTCACCCCGAAGTATCTTGTAATAGATGAAATATTTGAGAGATTTTCGAATTAATTTTTTGTTTTATAATAAATTTCAGATAAATCTATGATCGGTGGTCCTTCGAGGTATTAATTTATATGATGTTAGCAGGTAAAACCCCAGTTAAATTGTCCATTTACCTCTACGATCATGTGCTAAAATATTAAGGTTACAGATGGGTTTTTATATTATCTAACGGTTTTATTGATGATAAATGCATTAATTCACCTTCTTAATGATTAAAAATAGTAATTTCCTCTGTATTTTTTACAGATCTTCGACGAAAATTCGATGTTTCCTCTATGTTTATCAGATGAAGTAGCCTTTCATTACACAACTCCTGCTAAAAGTGAGATCCTTGACCACGACATTTAAATATTGTGATGTAAATTTATAAAATTATATAAAACTATTTCATTATTAATAAATTTTATAGATTATTCTTTAAATGTAATGCGAGAAACGAAGCGACGACGCGACAATAAGAGACGATACAAAGATATGTTAAGCTTATTCAAGCGAGAAGCGATAGAATTGTAAACAACCACACGCGACTCGCTCCATGCATAATTGCGACGCGATAGTATCTGAGAAGCTAGATATTATAGACTGAAAAATATTATAATATCTACAATATTTTATATTAACAAAGAGTGTAAATTGATAGCGAACGATGCGATAATGCGATAAGAATAAATCATTAATCTAATTGTAACGTAGGAACACGACGCGATTAAGTTGAGATAAAGTAACGCGATAAGCAATGAAACTTTGATAGGGAAAGGTGACCTTGTTAGATGAGACATCGCTTCTTATGCGATATAATACGATAGACGAAGAAAATAAAGCGATTGATTATAAATATATAAAAGAAACGTACGCAATCTTTGATCGCGAATCGCTAGCGATGCTGAAATTGATTCAAAAATTACGTCAATGGCGACGTCGCAGGCGATAAAATTTGCATACGTTTATGGCATTCGCGATCTTATCTTGACGTGATATAAATCGATTCAATGCGATAATTTGCGACGGAAATATCGACGTCGCCCTTTCGATCTTCTATCTCATATCGTCGCAGTTATCGCGATGTCGCTCGCGACAACTGCGAAAACACAATTCCTGCATTCGAAGTTTTGATTCGAAAATCAAAGTTATATATTAACCAATTAGAATTCACTTAAAATTAGCTACTCGGAAACTTATTGATTAAACTCTGTCTCTATTTGTTTACGAACAGCGACATAAAATTTCGCTCGCGATATTAAATTCTCGCGAGCGAGAAGAATAGAAACTTTTCTACCTGTATACAAGGTAAATTTATTTAAAAAAACGGGAAATAATTATATCATAGATAATTATATACCCCCCACTTTCAAGTGGTTCTTGTATAACCCGCATCATTTCCGGTTACTGACCGAAATAATGTTATTAGTTATATAAAGGGGAGAAATAAAATAAATGATTTTTGTTAGATAAATATATGTCGTTGACCCTTCAGAAACATCTGGAATAAAATATTTGATTGAATATACTTCTACAGTAACAATAATATCCTTTATTATTCCTATACGCTTCAACAATCACTTCTTGTTAACAGTTTTGGACAATATATTTATGCAAACCGGCGACAAACTCAGGAAAATTCGAGTGAAAACTGAAATTTTCCATAAATTAAAGCACTTTTTGAAGTTTTGGGTCCATATAAAAGTCCACTTATAGCCTTTTAGAGGCTCATAAATGTTTTAACAATGATTAAAATAAGCCTTAGTGTAGAACAATAATGCAAAAACTATAGTAAAAACTTACAAAAAATGATACGAATTAACCAGATTTTCGTAAGGTTAGAAACTTTTTAAACTCGTCGAGCCTTAATTAAGGGTAAAAACATCGAATGCATGCCTTAAAGTATTTAAATCATGATCACAAAAGGCTCTAAATTAACAGAAAAGTCTGACTCAAATTACTTCTAAATTATGCTTTATGGCTCATTTCCAGGAGACATAAAGGCTCATTATAATGAAAAATACAAGCATTAATCACTATAAAGGCTCTGAATTGATAGCAAAAATGTAAATTCGTCTCAATTAAACTCGAAAGCATGTGTACGTGTGTGTGTATTATAGCATGAAAATCGTGACCGTAAAGGCACGTTATAATAAAATTGGAAGCATAAATTATTACGAAGGTTGTAAATTAGTAAAAAAATTGTCATTTAATTTCCACAATTTTAAAATTAAAAATATAAATAATTCTCACTCAGACAAACAGGTGCAAAACTTGTAAACAATTAAGAATAACACGAAAAGTTTATCGAAATGGGGGGGGGAAAAATATTAATTTTGCAATTCAATTTAATCTAATCACAGTTTAGAAAATATCTAAAAATTCCTCGAAATGTTTCTTTTTAAAAAAATAATATAAATTAATAAATATTATTAAAGTCCCATGTAAAAAAAAAAAAAAAAAACATATTCAACAGGAGGAAGAAAAAGGTAAACAATTCAATTGTAAATAACCTAATATTCTAACAAGTCGAACACGTGTTAAAATTGTCATTTAAGTGTATAATTTGCCCGGATATCCTCTGATATTTTGATGATTTATTGGAAGTGACACACATGCTAACAGATGTGCTCTAAAATCCTGTTTAGGTCACAGAACCTGGGTGCTGTGTTGTTGCAGGTCAACCAATCGTCTACTTGCCCTTATTTATTATCTAACGATTTTACGTAAGAGAAACACTCGAATTTCTATCGGAACTTCGAAAGGTGAGTCACGCATTGTAATCATTTCTAATAATATTATTGTGTAAGTAGTTTACTTTCTAACACCTGAATTGCATTATACAATACACTATACGCCTACTACACTATACAGGGTTGGACTGTGACTTGTTGTGGCTCTAATATAGGAGGACCTTCCCTTTCACTAAATGATAAATGTAAAAATATGAAGCCTTAAGCTTTAGACTCATAAGTTTAGCTTACGACCAATTTTAGTTATATTGTAAAGTACTGTATGTACATATTTACTTTATATTAACGTGTACGTATGCAGTAAGTATACTATAAAGGGTACAGAAGTTAGAAATTTTTTTATGTTAGGATGAAAAATTAAGTATTTGTACCCGCATTTGTCGGTTATAAAGCAGAATAGTGGGTCATCAAGCTGTGTAAAGTACTAAGTAAACCCTCCTCTACTTATTTAGAGTAGAGGAAGGCTTGCTTAGTACTCTCTTAGTCCTCTCTTAATTTATTGCTTTAAAAATTCTAATTTAATATGTTTATATGCGAAAATATAATTAAAATTTATGTGGTTGTTATTAAATCGTTGCAAAATATTTACACTCTTTTAAATTTAAAATTTAATAAATAATACATGGCGTAAGTGGTAAATTTACAATTGTATCGTCTACAATAATTAGAAAATATTTAAATTTTTAATTAATTTGATTAATTAATTTAAATACAATTATAATACTTTATGTTAATTAATTACACATAGGCTTATATTGATATGTTTGGAATTTTTACAGTTAATTTTGTAGTTAATTATACTTCCAGGTGTACTAAATTTATCTTTTAAATGCTGAAAAGTCTGCTAAAATAATGTATTGAGTATTTTTGTTATTTTTTAATTTAAAAATGAAAATATTACTTGTTTCCCTTTTGTAATAGGAAGTGGGAATGCATCAATTATGTAATTCGTTTGATTGAGGGTGANTTCTATGGAAAGTCATCACGGAAGGCATCTTTTCTTGATAGATTCGACGTGTTGCGTTGTCTTATCTCATCAATACAATACAATTCAAAACTCGACAGTGAGAAAGTTTTCTTACTCGCTGTGATTTGCCAGATTCCCACTACACAAATTGATGTCGATGATTACGTCCATACTTCATCCTTCATTTTATTGAAATCATAGTTTCAGGCATTTTAAAAACAAATCCTCTAATAGATCCACTTACAATCATCTGCGTATTTATGTCATAGACTTATATCTAATTGTTACTTTTTCTTCTAGAAACTTCTCTGCTGTCCATTTTGTTCGGATTTCTGCTCTTCAAGATCTCTGAATGAATTCCGTTCGTTCGTGTCAGTTATTTTTTATTTTCGAAGATTCTCTTTTAGTTTCTGTATCATTGTAAATTTCATTACTTTCAATTAGCAGACTGACACTATTTTCGGGATAATCCGTTTAAAGGTGACAACCATTGATCTGTCAGTTACTTCGGATGGCACGAAGTCTTCTTCACTGCATAAATCTTTGTTGAAGTGCCATATACCAGTTGACTGAAAATCAGTAATAATACTTTTTAATGTTGAAGTATTTGGTAAGCTACAAGTATACTCAGCAAAGGAGGAATATTATAAATGACTATTGTCTTTTCAGGTTCCTTATTCATACACGCATTAAAAGCAGAAATATAATAAGTTTTCAATGGTTCAAATATCGATTTGCATAATGGCATGAACTCTATTTACTAAACAAGTTTACGGTGTTATTTTAGGGATATTTGGACAAAGACAATGTCTATATCTCCTAAAACTCCCAATATATTAAAATGAAAGGATAACGATTTCATTCTATTGGTACACTACCTTTTTAATGTATGGCTCTATATTACTGTCTTGATTTAATGTTATATTGTAACCGGAGCCGTTCCGAAAATGGGTAGCCAGTAATAACACCTTACGGAAACCATACAACTTGCTGGTAAATGTTACGCGCTATCTATCGTTCCACCCCATTCCCTATGTACTGTACCCCCACTCCCATGCACCTTTTTGTGACTATCAACACTTTCAATCCCGGAATTTGTAATTGTTCTGTAACCACAAAGCTTTTCGTCCATATGTAACGCGCCATAACTATTTGTACACTTTTTCTTTTTGTATCCTGTACATGTATCATTCTATTTAAATTAACTGTGTTGTTTGCGCTGATAGTCTCTCTCATCTTCATCATCTTTCCTATCACACTTTCACTCCTCTCATCCATTCCCCTTCTCATTTTTTTCACCCCAGGCGATACCCCTGAGTAGTCCTGGTCTTTCGCCCCTTTCATTAAAAATAAAAATATATTACAATGTTGTCTCGTCAATAATTGATTGCATTTACACTCAAATGTGAAGTGTGATTATAACGATAACAAGGGCTGATTGCTCTCTGTGTGCCTGGAGTGAAATACATCATTTAGTGAAAAGTAAGAATTCTTTTCTGATGACTCATCCACAAGCCAAAGAAGTCTGTCTACTGCAAATTTTTCTTTACAAAATGTATATTAAAATACCAAAACAGATAGAACGCAATTATTAATGACATATAAATGCAACTGGCATTAATAACAGCACAGTAATTTATGTCATAAATCATACAATCCTGTAATCAGATTTCAGTAGTAGTAGTAGAAGATAGCATGTTTTACAATGTTACACGATGAAATTAGATTGCATGAATATACAGTAGTGTGGTTCAGTCGCAATTATGTTCTAAACTTTATAGCCAACGTTTCCTCTAAGCGCGCACTGATTCTCATCAAATTACACAAATGCTTTTACTTCCTGTACACAAAGCCGATATCGCGACATCTGCACACCAAACATTCATGATGATCCAATAATTTCTACACACAGAATGATTCTGAAGGATTCTGCAATATTATGAGAAATGATAGTATGAGTGATCGTAAGCAAACCACTTCATATAAACATGTTTCAAATTTCTTGTCTGAAAAGATTTTGCTCGGGTGCATTTTTCCACCGCACGAAAAATGAGAGAAAACATTAGTTATAGCCATATTTGTCAAAAAACTTTTGGTTTTCTGAGTCAGAGATTATTTAAATCTAAAAACCGATCTTTAGTAACGGATTTTACCCCAAAAAAAGGTAATGCAATTTCATTTTCATTTTTTTTTTCTAATAATGACATGGCGTTTGCAGCCGTTGTCGTCAGTCCAAACGTTATCTCAGCTAATTGCTTAATTGAAGCATGTGATAGAATAAGATACCTAAGTCACTTAGGTCCTTTTTTCTTGTTCTTTTTTATTTTCTTGAATGAATTTTATATAATAAAGGACTCCTGTAAAACACGCAATATTCTCATAATTCTTGTTAATTTGTTAACAGTCGTCGCTAAATAGCGCTAATTTCCAACATGGCGGCTACCGTGTGAAATGCATTCAGCTTTGTTTATAAAGTTTATTATTACAGCAATACATATTCTTTTATCATGGAGACCTCGTAATCTAACTTTTTGGACGAATAGTGAAAGAAAGCCTGAAAATCTTACGGAAGCTTTAAGATGAGAGACAGCCAGAGATACGAAGAATACGAACTATTGGAACAATTGTCACCATAATGAATTAAGCCAGTATCTTTAATAACATGAACACAGGCGTATCTTTCATAATCAAGTGAAACAAAAATGTATACTAGAAATAGGCAATTTCGGTACTTATGAATAAAGTTTTATAGTTTACGGACAAATGGGGCTGACTGAAAATATTTTATTGAATATAATTAAAGTACTTTTTAAATACACTTATCTTAAACGGTAACAACGCATTCTATACAGCAATATTTTCATTATTTCTTCCAAAATAAAGAATTTATGAAAATTTTTGTCGATTTCTGAAAAGTTGTTTTTCTTTCTCCATCCTACGCGTGATGTATATTTAAAACGCAATTCAAATTTCAAGTTTATCATATAACAGATTTCTGTATTATACTTTTATGTGCATGACATACACTTTAAATATGTGTACGAACAGGCTTTCTCAGTCAATATAACATCTACGAAATCTTTTAGTCAATATAAAAAAGCCTACCAGTTATCGATATAACCACTCAATACTGATAGTTGGTCGCGGGTTCGTACCTGACCAGTTGAAGTTGTCAGATTTTTTTCACGCATTTAAAATCTATATACGAACCATTCTCTTATTAAAAAGCACGGGAGGCATTATGTTGATGGTGTGAGGTAGCGCAAGATGGTCACACAGTGTTTGTTTACTTATCCTATAATCGAAACTAAACCAAAAAATTCGTACTTGTTATTTAAATACTACAAATCTTTTTATGTACATTTGTAACATTCCCCGCTTACAAAATATAATCATATTTCAAAGATACTCAAAAAGTTTTTCATGATCGCATCGCAAAACAACGTGACCCTGAAAAACTGTTTGTGTCTTTGAATGGACTGTACAAAACTATAAAATATTTTCTGTGTTTTTTAAACATTTATTGTTCCTTCTTTTAAATTTTCCTTTCTTTCTTTTGTATGATTAAAATACTGTTTTATTTCGTTTGTAAACATTTTTTGTCGTAGTGTTCATTGTTCTTTTATGTGGCATCCATGTCTATCAGAATATTCAGCCATTGCTGACTTTTCATTGTTGTTTATAGTGTTCATTGTTCATAGTGTTCATTGTTCTTTTATGTGGCATCCGTGTCTATCAGAATACTCAGCCATTGCTGACTTTTCATAATATTATTTTATTCACGCTGATATATTCAGTCGTTTATTTTCATACTTTCTGTACGCTTTTCTTATATCATCACTGATATATTGTAATTTTTAAACGACATTTTTCTTTTATTTTAATTTATGTTTATCGTTTTTCTCTCGGCTCTGTATGGTGTATTTTATCTAAATTAATGTAATAGTCGCTACCATCTTGCTAATTTTGTCATAGCTTAGCCCTCCGATCATACAACATAAAAATTTTATTTCTGCCTTAGGAATATCATAAATACCCGCTTTTTCCAGAGACATTGTCGCATTACATAAGCATTGATACCTCAACCTATTAAATGTTGAATATTCGTTAATTCAGAGTTGTCATTTTGTTCCATCTACAAATTATATTACTGTGCTGTAGCTGAAAGTACCAGCTTTTAAAGATACTAGTCAGCTTCCACTTGGTTCGTCTCACGCTCAATCCTTTTTCCTCATTCGTTTGGGACCGTCTCCTTCACTGCAAATAATACTACATATATGGTCTTCACTGTAAATAATACTACATATATGGTCTTTGTTCTGTTTGAAAAAATATTTTGAAAAACTTCGGTATATAAAGTAAGTTACGAATATTTCTAGTTTAGTAAATAATTTACCTGTCAACAATGTAAATAAACATTACACTGTAAATTTTACTTTTATTTTTCATATTCGATACTCATTTAGCAAACGCCATGATCAAAGTCTACTTTTCTCAATAGACCTAACTGATATCCTCTTAATTGCTGTGGATATTTGCATATTGCTGGAACTTTTAGACGAAACGGAATAACCCAAGCCATGTCGCTACAACAATACACGTCATTTTCTGTAACATATAAAAGTATCATCATCAACATCACACTATACTTGTCACACAAATTTAAGACTCTATAGTTTATTGTTGACAGGACCAAACGTTGCAGGTAACAAGGATAAAGCAGCAACAATAGAATTAAAACGTAATGATGACACTTACCCATTAATACAACTCTCCAATCTTTATTGTGTATTATAGGTTTGACAACTTCGAATGGCAAATTATGGAAACGATTGTTGTTTAAATATACTGCTTCTAGAACTGGCATATTTGTAAATATGTCCTTTGGCAGATTTCTTAACTTGTTACCACTACAGAATAACCAAAATAAAAGGCAAGCTTTTGATAGACTCCAATATATAACTATGAATATTTTAATACTTACATAAAAGATATAGATTTTAAACGCCTAGCCATAGTAGGTAACATGGATCTATTGACTTCGGTCAAATTAAGCTTTATTAATGCCAGCAATTTCAAGTTTTCGTACGTAGAAAATGCATGAGGATCAATATAATCGATTTCGCAGTTACTTATGGCTAAACCTTCCAAGATTTTATGTGGTATTTGTTTGAAATTTTCGCCGATTGGTCCTAACTCGCTCGAATCGATATCAAAACTTTGAAGATTCTTTAAAGCCGCAAAAACAGACCAGTTCCAAGATTTTATTCCTTTTACAGTCGACAAATAAATATNAACAGGAGGAAGAAAAAGGTAAACAATTCAATTGTAAATAACCTAATATTCTAACAAGTCGAACACGTGTTAAAATTGTCATTTAAGTGTATAATTTGCCCGGATATCCTCTGATATTTTGATGATTTATTGGAAGTGACACACATGCTAACAGATGTGCTCTAAAATCCTGTTTAGGTCACAGAACCTGGGTGCTGTGTTGTTGCAGGTCAACCAATCGTCTACTTGCCCTTATTTATTATCTAACGATTTTACGTAAGAGAAACACTCGAATTTCTATCGGAACTTCGAAAGGTGAGTCACGCATTGTAATCATTTCTAATAATATTATTGTGTAAGTAGTTTACTTTCTAACACCTGAATTGCATTATACAATACACTATACGCCTACTACACTATACAGGGTTGGACTGTGACTTGTTGTGGCTCTAATATAGGAGGACCTTCCCTTTCACTAAATGATAAATGTAAAAATATGAAGCCTTAAGCTTTAGACTCATAAGTTTAGCTTACGACCAATTTTAGTTATATTGTAAAGTACTGTATGTACATATTTACTTTATATTAACGTGTACGTATGCAGTAAGTATACTATAAAGGGCACAGAAGTTAGAAATTTTTTTATGTTAGGATGAAAAATTAAGTATTTGTACCCGCATTTGTCGGTTATAAAGCAGAATAGTGGGTCATCAAGCTGTGTAAAGTACTAAGTAAACCCTCCTCTACTTATTTAGAGTAGAGGAAGGCTTGCTTAGTACTCTCTTAGTCCTCTCTTAATTTATTGCTTTAAAAATTCTAATTTAATATGTTTATATGCGAAAATATAATTAAAATTTATGTGGTTGTTATTAAATCGTTGCAAAATATTTACACTCTTTTAAATTTAAAATTTAATAAATAATACATGGCGTAAGTGGTAAATTTACAATTGTACCGTCTACAATAATTAGAAAATATTTAAATTTTTAATTAATTTGATTAATTAATTTAAATATAATTATAATACTTTATGTTAATTAATTACACATAGGCTTATATTGATATGTTTGGAATTTTTACAGTTAATTTTGTAGTTAATTATACTTCCAGATGTACTAAATTTATCTTTCAAATGCTGAAAAATCTGCTAAAATAATGTATTGAGTATTTTTGTTATTTTTTAATTTAAAAATGAAAATATTACTTGTTTCCCTTTTGTAATAGGAAGTGGGAATGCATCAATTATGTAATTCGTTTGATTGAGGGTGAATTAGTCGCTTAATTAGGCGAATTAATTCAGTGTAAAGCGATTTATGTGTGTAGTTTTGTACGAAAATTAATCTTTTTAATGTTAATTAGTTTATTTAATTACACTTAAATCGGAGAGAGTTAAAGAACTTCGATAATCTTAAATAAAACCAGTCTGTAGGGGAAACCGGAAATAACGAAACACGATGACAAAATTACATTGTTCTGTAGCTTGTTACTTTAAGATTATGTAAATGTTATTTATCAAAAATACAATGAAATACAAATAAACTGTGTGCAATACAATTAATTTAATTGTATTGCACATAGAACAAAGTAAATATTTGTTTCGAATTAAAGCAAAATGAGAATAGCATCTTCATCTCCATTGTCTACTTCAGCACGTGAATTTAGGGTCCACTTAAGGCAGTTCTGGCCGATCCACCCTTTAATAAAGGTTACGTTTAAACGATCCACCCTTTAATAAAGGTTACGTTTGAATATACTGTATGTTAGGAACTGAAAAATTACAATATATAAGTACGGTACATGAATTTACACTTAAAATATATGATACCACGAAATCTGGACGTCCCCTGACTTCATTTCCCTGATATTTTGCGATAATTTAAATTTAATTTTGTAGATTAGAATAATAATAAGTTAATTATGGCGCCACACTCCACACTTCTTTGGTTTTATCTCAATGAGTGTGGGGTCTTTTGCATTTGGAAGCTCTGGTTAATTTGAGTTGGCCTTAAATAATCAAACATTTATTGGACTTACAAATATGTTTGTAAATGTGAAATACATTAAAACTTGCATTTTATTATCGTAAAGAACTAAAAGTAACCTTGTAGATAATTGCAAGTTTTTTTAAAGAATGATTACCTATCTTCTAGACTTATCAGTTGTCTGATGTAAAATAGAAAATGGCACGTAATCTATTACACTTCCACGTACATCCCCCTCATACGTGGAAAGCATAATTAATACATTTTTTGATAAATGATAAGTCAAAATACCTATATAAGTAAGAGACATCACAATGCAAAATGATACATTTCGCTTATGATTTGAAAGAATGTAGAACCTTGTAGAAAAATTTGCTCATTTTAATACGAAAATTTTGTTGTTAATTGCTAAAACAATATAATTTTTATACGTTTTAACTTAATACAATTTTTTAAATCAGGTATGATGCTTTTCTACTGAAGCGTGCAATGAAGGTTTTCACGTTGCAGCTTTCAGAAAACTTATATTAATTTTGATTAAATGTCTAATTTAAATATGAGATATTTTGATTTATAAAAATATTTAATTTATTTTTCAGAATTATTGCCTATTTTAACCATGCCAACAATGATGCCCTACTCCGTCAACTGTGACGACTCAATTACCAACGATAACTGTGAGAAGCCCAAAGATCATCTAAGATTGGTTCTTCTAGGAGCTGCTCGTGTGGGTAAGACATCTTTAATTCAGCAACTGCTCTATAATAAATTCCCATCCCAGTATCGAGCTACAGTCGAAGAGATGCACAGAGCAGAATACGAAGTGGATGGATGCTCGCTGACACTCGAAATCTTAGATACGAGTGGAGCTTATCCATTCCCAGCAATGAGAAGATTAGCCATTAGCAGAGGAGATTATTTTGTATTGGTATTTTCTATAGATGACGGAGAATCTTTTGAAGAAGTGGGAAGATTGAAAGAAAGTATATTTGAGCTTAGATCACCTGAAGCACCTATGGTTATAGTCGCTAACAAGAGCGATCTAGCCGATTGTAGAAGAGTTAGAAAGGAGATTGCTGAAACTGTGGTAAGCATCGATTGGGAGAAAGCTTACATTGAATGTTCTGCTAAAACTGGACATAATGTGCTTCATATTTTTACGGAAGTGCTCTTTCGAGCACAGATACATTACGCACTGAGGAGAGCGGTCGAGAAGAGAAGACACTCCCTACCTGTTCCTCATAAAGGTGAAATTCCTTCCCCTAAACGTCACAGCTGTGTTATATCATAGATACACACAAACATTTCGTTACATATATATAAATTTCTGGATAATCGAGATCGACTGTGTACGAATTTCACAAATGTAACTTCAGAATAGGATGGTGAGACGTATGTATTGATATTACGTAACTCTACAGGTTTAAATAATAGAGTTTAGATCGATATTATGGTAGATATATTTTAAAATCGTAATTAAAATTTCACTATCATCAATTAAAAACACGAAAATTTATCTGTGACATTCGAGACTTCACGTCTCACCTAATTCTTAGAAGTGCTTATGTTTAATCTACAGAAATTCATTTGTAGCAGCTTGTGTAATTCATACACAATCGATTTTTATAACCAGTATATTTCATTATGTTATTAATCACTGTATTATTGCTATTTTTTCACAGTATTCTCAATTATTTAATCACAAGTATATTTTTTTATATTACACTATATTAAATATATGTATAAAACAATAAACTTAGTTTAATAAATATGTACTCAGATAGCAAATTTGTGTGCTTATTAAGAAATTTACACGCGTGTTTATTCATTAAATTCGTCAAATTTTATTTCGTGTAAACATAGGTTTACGCCGAATTTTTCCATAACCTAAACAAGTTGCCTCTTAGGATCTCAGGTTATGGGTGTATAGCCTAAAGCCTCACATTTTCACATATATCATTATTTGGTGGACAGAAAGAATCTGTTATATATTATAGCTTAAGACCACAAGATGTCTAAGTCAATCCCCGTGTATATTCTAAAAGTTTCGTGTCGATTGGTTGAATGGTTTGATGAAATGTGGCAAAGTAACAAATGGGTGATCTGTCTCTTTTATATGGGAATCTCACTCTTGTTTTGGTGTTAAGCAGGTGAAGAAACTTTTCAAACTCTACGCGGCCATACCATGGGTCAGGTGCGAACCCGTGACTACCAGTATTCGGTGGTTTTTAACCATTTCGTGTCGAACGATAATTATTTCAAGATACTCTTACATAAGGGAATAATCTATGTAATATATAAAGACATTTGCAGTATAATTTATTAATTTTTATGTTTTTAAATCATTTTACATCATTTTAACAAATTGCATGGTGAATATCTACAACTTCCAACTCGTTAATCTCTTTACCTCTTACTATTGAAGGATTAGCACATTTACCTTTGATATTTTTATTTATTTTTAATTGTATTAATTCTTCCATCGAAGAACAACAAAGAATATCATTACCTGTAAATAATGCAATCAAAATTATTGCCGTTGCAAACACGTGACCTTCAGAATATTGCAAAAAATCTTTACCTTCAAGGGTAATTTCACGATGACTACCAGTTAAAGGGCGGAGCAAATCAGGAGATAGAAATTTTAATTGGTTATTTGCCAGATTCACGTGTATCAGATCGGGCATCTTTTTAAAAAAATCATCAGGCAATTTTTTTATCTTGTTATTTCTGTAATATAAAAGAGTCATATGAAATTTTTAATGGGCCATTAGTGACATTAAAACTGTTAATTTGTCGTGGATTTACGCCTGACCGACTGGCCACGTGAAGTTTGCCAGGTTTTCTTCTCGTGTCTAACATCTAAATTGGCCCATAGAAAATCATTCCGGGAGGCAAAACCCTTTGGCAGACTGCTCCAGTGTTGCATTGTCTTATTCCATCAAACCAACCAACCATTAATAAATTGAAGAAATAAATAAACCAACATATTATTAATTTTTGCCCATTATTAACTTTTTAATAAAATCTCATTAAAGTTTGTCACAGCTGTATCAGGATTCATTTACAAGGATTGATGGATGGAATAGGACAACACAACGATTTGCAAAGAGGTGAAATTATACCCTGAAGACTTTCTACAGGGAAACTGGTCTTTATTTAGGTGTTAGACACGTGAAGAAAGCACAACAACGTGACCAGTATGTTGGTCAGGCGCGAAGCCACAACTTGGTGTTAGCCACTCGACCACTGATGAGTTCTAATTTACAAGAAGATAATACTTGAATGACAAACCTTCTCTTTTAAATTTACACATAAACTAACAACTCTAATTATAAAATATGATATAAATTACTTACTCCAAATATAATAAACTTAGTTTCGAGGGTACAGTAAACATGGATCTCTTCAAATCAGTAATCATGTTTTTACTTAGATCCAGACTCATTAAATGCTCGTGTTTGGCAAAGGCTTTATCGTGTAAGTAACTAATTTTGTTGTTTTCTAGTTCGAATTTATTGATTTTCTTCGGTGCCAGAAAGGAAAAATCTTCAGAAATAGCAGATAAGTCTGAATCTCGAATAACCACATAGTTTAATTTAAAGCAGTCCTCGAACGGCTTCCATCTCCACGAATTTAGCCCTGTCACCTGTTCTAATCTCAATTCTTCCAAAGTTCTCATCATATTACCGAACATTTCGTAACTGTCTTGAAGCTCCAAACCTAAAACTTCACTAGATTTAACCGTTAGAATGGAGATAGAAAATGTTTTCCATACATGAGCCGGTAGAAACATCAATTGAACATGGCGCAGTTCTAAGCTGTACACCAAATAATCATTGAAAGATCGAAGGGATTTTGACATTTCCTGGAAATTCTCGTAGTTCTTGCATACAACATGCAATCTTGTATAACGGATTTCGCATTCGCAATTAATTAATTTTTCTTTTTCTGGGCAAACGTTTAATTTGTTTCCTTTGCAACACGCCGTTAGCATAAGCACGTAGAGTACAATTTGAAGGCAATAAATCCTTCCTAATGCTTCCTATAAGTAAGAAATATTAGTTGTAATTAAAATTTAACTTAAATTAGAGAATATAATTATGAAACTTAAAATATATTCAAATTTAATATGTGCTGTTTCATATTCTATATTCTGTACAACCTTCAGATATTGCATTATTGTAGTTAAATGCCAACCAGTGGCCAATTAGAAGATTCGTTTCTCACCAACGGGCTAACTCACCACAGAGGTCCTCTTGGAAAGACTTTCTATAATAAATCAGCTACTGTTTAGGTGTTAAACAAGTGTTTAGGTAGCCCCTTAGCAAATTACCGTATTCCTTCAGCCATTAACTAATCGTATAGTTAAAAACATTTTTATCCTCTTTTTCTCAAATTAAACACAACACTTCGAATCTTTTAACTTATAAAACACATTAGAAAATTAATTTAAAGCATGAAATTACGTGTAAACTTACCATGTTTCTCTAGATGGAAAATTGTATAAACAAGATGTAGTTCTCTGTATGATTTCCAGATGTTTTCTTTGAGATAAATATAATTTAATATCAATTAAAAATAAATTTCAGTAGATAAATAAAGTTAAATAAATGATAAAAAGAAATAATTAACTGTTAAGTTTTATCTTATAAATTTAACATAAATTTCAGCCGTTGGTAACCGTATAACGAAGTTTAAAATGTCAAAATATGAAGCGTGAAATGTTAATTTTAATTAATATTGAGTGTTTTCTTTATCGCAATTAAGTAAATAAGTGTGTTCTAATCTACTTAACAGTATGTAATTAATAGTTAAATTATAATTTATCCGGAGGAAGTTGATAGAAAATTGTAAATTTCATACAGTTCAGCATTTTAATTCCGTTTAAACTTTCATTTAAAGTTACGTTTTATATTTATTTTCTTTAATCATTAAATCACTTGGATCTAAATTCCGAAACTGTAGGCAAATAATAGGAAATTTAAATTAGAAGAAGGTAGGACTAATTGTTTACAGTTGTACAAAGGAAACGGACTATATCATTGGCTTGCTCTAAATTACTGGCGCGAAATTCGAAGGCTATTACCTGAATGTCAATAAAGCGTAGTCTTCTTTGTAGGCCAACTTCCTACACAATCGTTGTTCCAAATTTTATCCAATATTTCTGATAGAGCTCCTTGATTTTCTCTACCTTGGACCTGCACCAAAGTATACCGTATTACAACTGTCCGAAGAACGTGTGAATATCTCATACATAAATAGAACTGAAAATTAACCTAAGCTGTGAATGCCAAAAACATAAAACAATGGAACGCATCTACAAAGACTGTCCCTCCACTGAATACCAAAGGTAATTTACATCTTATTTCCATTCAATTCAAAAACTGATAGCCCACTAGTGCCGAGTGGATAAAACCACCGTACACTGATCAAGGGTTCGCGCCTGGCCAACTGGCTAACCACATGGAGTTTTACGGGCTTTCACATGTCTAACACCAAACCAGGAGCTAGTTTCTATGGAAAGTCATCACGGAAGGCATCTTTTCTTGATAGATTCGACGTGTTGCGTTGTCTTATCTCATCAATACAATACAATTCAAAACTCGACAGTGAGAAAGTTTTCTTACTCGCTGTGATTTGCCAGATTCCCACTACACAAATTGATGTCGATGATTACGTCCATACTTCATCCTTCATTTTATTGAAATCATAGTTTCAGGCATTTTAAAAACAAATCCTCTAATAGATCCACTTACAATCATCTGCGTATTTATGTCATAGACTTATATCTAATTGTTACTTTTTCTTCTAGAAACTTCTCTGCTGTCCATTTTGTTCGGATTTCTGCTCTTCAAGATCTCTGAATGAATTCCGTTCGTTCGTGTCAGTTATTTTTTATTTTCGAAGATTCTCTTTTAGTTTCTGTATCATTGTAAATTTCATTACTTTCAATTAGCAGACTGACACTATTTTCGGGATAATCCGTTTAAAGGTGACAACCATTGATCTGTCAGTTACTTCGGATGGCACGAAGTCTTCTTCACTGCATAAATCTTTGTTGAAGTGCCATATACCAGTTGACTGAAAATCAGTAATAATACTTTTTAATGTTGAAGTATTTGGTAAGCTACAAGTATACTCAGCAAAGGAGGAATATTATAAATGGCTATTTTCTTTTCAGGTTCCTTATTCATACACGCATTAAAAGCAGAAATATAATAAGTTTTCAATGGTTCAAATATCGATTTGCATAATGGCATGAACTCTATTTACTAAACAAGTTTACGGTGTTATTTTAGGGATATTTGGACAAAGACAATGTCTATATCTCCTAAAACTCCCAATATATTAAAATGAAAGGATAACGATTTCATTCTATTGGTACACTACCTTTTTAATGTATGGCTCTATATTACTGTCTTGATTTAATGTTATATTGTAACCGGAGCCGTTCCGAAAATGGGTAGCCAGTAATAACACCTTACGGAAACCATACAACTTGCTGGTAAATGTTACGCGCTATCTATCGTTCCACCCCATTCCCTATGTACTGTACCCCCACTCCCATGCACCTTTTTGTGACTATCAACACTTTCAATCCCGGAATTTGTAATTGTTCTGTAACCACAAAGCTTTTCGTCCATATGTAACGCGCCATAACTATTTGTACACTTTTTCTTTTTGTATCCTGTACATGTAT